GATGTTCAAATACCTTTTCTGGACGTTTCACAGCAAATTGCTCAAACACTTTGTGGTGTTGAGGGTGACTTATTCTAGTCAAAGTCAGGCACTGTGTTCAAGTACCTCCAGGAATAGACCCAGGTCTTTTTCAGTATAAAATATGTGAGTGTCAATATAGCGCCTGTGTGCTGTTTCAGAACCGATGGCGTATTTCTTTCCGAGTGAAATTGTAATAGTTGTCAGATTCGAGGCTTCCTTGTACAGGAATTACGAATGTGTAGAAAGCGTGAACCTTTAACTGAATAGTAAACTCGTAGTATCTTCTTCTTCTTCCTCTTCTTCTTCTCCTCCTTCTCCTCTTCCCTCTCCTCCCCCTCTTCCTCCTCCTCCTTCTCATCCTCCTAATCTCAATTCTAATTCTCGTAATTCTTTCTTCCCGGTGTCGCAAGTTTATAGACTTGTGAAAATTGCAGAGATCCCTGCAACACAAAAGCATATAATACATAAACGTCGAGCGGGTTGCATATTAAAGAACAGGCGACAGCGATTCGTCGGGCCAAATACTCTACCTTTCGCGCACCACTTCGTTATACACGTGTTGTTACGCAGCAAAAACGACGATTTCTGACAGAAAACTCTCATTGTACTACAATCGAAAAAGTAAATAAATCTTGTTCCTGTATGTAGTAAATTTCTTCCATTTCTTCGTTGTATAGTCATAATCCACGTTTGGTGTGTCCTTGATACCGATAAATCCACTGAGGTAAAAGTCTGCCCGTCTGTGTACCTTTGAACTACGCTAGCGGCTAAGCCGTAAGCAGGATTTACATCAAAATTTATATTCCGCAGTAGATATGACTGATGTTTTGATTTTGGGGATTACTACATATGAAGTCTCAAATCTTTTAAAATTTTGTAAAGAATATCTCCAAATTATAAAGAAAAACCCTCTGGTAGAGCAAAAACGGATAAAGAAATCGCGTAAGTCGTATTTTCATTGAACTATTTTCATTTCATTTCTGAACTACAATAATGAAGATATTAATTTTTACTTTCTCGTTATTGCAGTAGAGAGAACGTTATGTAACACCGTGAAAAACGGGGAATTTTCGACAGAAAAAGTTAATACAGGACCCTAGCAACGGAAAAGTGGATAAATTGAGATGCTTAATGCAGATAAAAAAGTCTAACACGTGGTGTAGCCAGAATCCATATTGTTTGGGCACTTGATACCGAAAAATCGATTGATTGCAAAACGTTTGTCCGTCCGTCTGTGAATAACGTTAGCTAATAAACCCATCTGCCGATTTTCTCCAAAATTGATATTCCTCGATCGATCTGGCTGATGTCTCGGTCCCTTGAATTTGAAATCGATGTTTTAATTTTGGGGATACTTTACGTGAAGCCGTTGAGACATT